AGAATTTGTTTGTGACAATTTGCATTCGAGAAACAGAAATATAGAGAGCAAATAAAATATAGAGTGTCGAAAGGAGAAATTGGGGAAAGTAGAGAGTTAGAGGGTGGAATCGAGGTGGAAAGTAGAATATGCATTTGAGAGATATAAATATAAATGTGACGAGTGTCGAAAGGGAGAATTAAAGGGAGGAACAAGAGAAGAAAATAGAGAAAAGAATGTTTGAAAAAGTAGAAGGAAATGTTTATGATAATTTGAAAGAGGAAAGATATAAATATAACGAATTGAGCGAAGAATTGAGAAAAGGAAAGAATTTGAGGCAAAGGAGGTAATATAAAGGAAGAAGAAAATAAGAAAAAGAAAAATATATATGAGAATATTTCCATTCGAGAAAGGCAAAATACAAATGTAATGAATGAGTGAAAAGTCGAGAGAGGAAAGGAGAGAACCAGAGGCAAAGAAATAAGGAAATAGAAGGGGAAAGTGGAAAAGCGACTAGAAAAAGCTGGCTCAAAAAGAAGATGGAAATCCTTTTGCCCCGATCCTTCCTTTTGGTTTTTCTGTTCCCACGATTCATTCTCTTCCTCCCTCGGCGATCCTTCTTTCGCTCGTTCTTCTCTTTACAGTTGCGCGGTTTACGAGGAGCACCGTGTCGTAAACTGGGGGAGGGAGCAAAGGGGAAGCAATGCAAATAGCAACCTAAGAAAGAAAGTAGGTATGAAAAAAGAAAGGAGAACAAGAATAAAAAATAGAAAGAATGAGGAAGCAGAGAGGGAAAATAAAAAAATAAACTGGAAAAAATAAAATGAGAATCAAAAGGAAGAATCAAGGAGAAAGCTTGGATTAGGAGAAACGTAGGATATAATTTTTTCAATTGATTTTTAATACTTTCAACTGCTACAAAGTAACTTACTAGTAAACTTCTTACAAATCTTTATATCTTCATCGCCATAGTCGATTGATTAATCGTCTCCTAATTCATTTTTATACTATCATTTATTCACATTATTTATTATTTATCTTACATTCATATTTTTTATGTCCTAATGAACTAAAATTGTCATCGTTTGCACTTAACTCGGCCAAGTCAAGTTATATTTCATCTACCTTTCTTCTTTCCTCTAATCACCATACTTTACCTCGCCCCTTAAATAAATAAATGACACAAACAACCCAAGGAAACAACGAAACGAGGAACAAGAGCCGAGAAACATCAACGATAGAGTCGAATTTAATCGCTAACTGATTGCGGACCATAACGAGTGACCGAACCGTACGGTAATAATTCGCCGGTCTCTCTTTGAACTCGCCGGGGTACGATATGACTGGATAGAAATTATTCAGAAGTAATAAGTAAATTATTATTATTTGCTTCGCCTGAGTTGTACACTCAGAAATATACACAGAACTGTGGAAATATTTTGGGACCAAAAATTCTCGACGGCGCGTGGCACGTGATCTTCCAGCGCAAGACGGTTAACGAGAAAGTTTGAAGGAGAAGCGGCTAGGAAGGAAGCAGAAACTCGATCGTCCAAGGAGGACACCCGACTGGGGGGTGGGGAATAATGAAATAGAAAAAGCGACTGGACGACCGAAGTAACCGAACTCCGGAGAACCAACAAATCGACGAGAGAGAGAGGGAGAGAGGGAGAGGGAGAGAGAGCACACGTGGAGGAGCCGGAACGGCGAGAACAAAGTGCGCGATTGAACTCGTATCCGCGACAGAGATCAGACGTCGACTGGTGGGCGTGTATAGATACATATAACGCGCGCAGGTAGACAGGCAGGTACGCGTGCGGCCCGCAGAGGAGAACGGGATTGTGGAAAGGGTGAGAGAGAGAGAGAAAGAGCAGGAGAAGCCAGAAAGAGACAGGCGAGGGAGAGAGAGAGAGAGAGAGAGAGAGAGAGAGAGAGAGAGAGAGAGATGGCGTGCAGGAGGAAAGGAGGGAAAAGCTGGAGGAACGCGGAGGGCACATAAGTCCGGCGCTGACATCGTTGCAACCCTCGCGTCGGACTCGAGTATCGACAGATATTTAAATGAATATTCCTCGGCTGTTAGGGATCCGCTCTTTGAAATCAAAGCAGAAGGTACAACGGTTCATTTAGACGTCCGCCGATATCCCGCGCCAGCCGGACCCGCTGGATACAGGATTTCGCTTGTCACGTCATTCGAGCGGGGGGGAGGGGAGGTTATCGTCGAGAGACCGGCACGATTCCCTGGCTAGAGGCTATCGGGGGAGAGAAAGAGAAAGAGAAAGAGAAAGAGAGAGAGAGAGAGAGAGAGGAGTCGCGTGTGTCCCTCGAACGACCCCGTTTGTCCGGGACACGCACGCGGACTTGTACTTTATCCGCGTCGGTTATCCGCTTTCGGAACGACGCGATCGTTCGATACCCTCCGCCTTCTGTCTCGAGCGCGCTCTAGAACCAGGTAGAGATTCGAAGCATTCCTTTCCACCGCGCTTAGCTTCCCTCTTCCATCGCCGTGTTTTTGCGTTTCGAGGTGAGTCTTGTGAGTCCATCTTCGAGTCCTCGAAATCTGATGTACGCAGCAGCGATGGTTTTCGGAGTGGTTTCGTGTTTGAAGTTTCCTGGGAATCCGATCAGGGAAAGAGAGAGAGAGAGAAAAGAGATTCGAGACGAGGGTAATGAGCGAAGTGAAGGACACGAGAAGTGAACAAATAGACAAAATTTGGATGTATAGTAGAGATCGAACTGTTCTTCGCACGAGCGAGCTTTCGTCAAAGGCGCGAAATGTATTTTTTAGCCTGTTTTATAAATTTGATGATTCGATACTGGTACGAGAAGAGAGGACTCAGAGTGGTTCGTGGTCTTTAGAGCACGATTACGGTGGATGGATAAGTTTTCTGAGAATATGGACGAGGAAAGTTTATACTTTGAGATTACATTTTTAACAAATGTAGACAAGTGGACGAAATTTTGACGTTGCCATGAGATTAGAAAGTAAAATACCAATTACGTAATAATAATTACGTAAAGTTCACACTTTTCTTTTTAATTTGTTACAAATAAATAAGTTCAAACGTATGTCAACCTTCTACTTTCGTAATTACACTTTTCTTTTTAATTTGTTACAAATAAATAAGCTCAAACGTACGTCAACCTTCTACCTTCGTAATTTGTATTAGACAACAGATATCTCAATTCCAGTAGAAAATTGTCTTACATTCTCTAAGCAACACTGTACTATTACATATTTACCTCGTAATTTTTCACTTTGAAATCTCGTATAAATACGCTCGTAAAATCTAATGATTATATGATCTAACGATGATAGATCCTTCCTTCGTATGTATCACCTTTTTTTTTTTTTGTCCAACGAGTAACCTCTAATCAAAGCTTCTCTCTAGATCAAACAGTTATTAACAAATAATCTATACGATGCATTCAATGTGAATCCTGTGATGATCGACCATAGTAACTTCAGCCAGACCATGCCAACGATTCGTCCACTGTCGTCCACGCTCGACCAAACGATCCTCTCGTTCTCGACGAGGTGAAAGCACCGACTCCAACCATCTGGACGACCTTATCTGCCAGCGCGGACCGACGTCCCGAAGAACACGGATATACCTAACGTTATCGCGTCGAACGGACAACGATTTCCCATCAAAACGTTTCGTCGGATACGTAGGTACGTAGGTCGCAGGTGTCGTAAATCAGCCTAAGGTAGAACCGCATTCACGTTTGGAAACGAAAGGCGAGTCGAACGAACGAACGTAGAAACGAGCAACGAGCACCTCGCGTCTCCTGTTCCTCGCGACAATTGCGCGCAGAGCAACCAGCGATAAATCTCTCCGGGCATTTCTAATTTTTCCACCGAAATGCACGCACGTACGTACATAGGAACGCACACACGCGAGAGAGAAAGAGAGAGAGAGAGAGAGAGGGACTGTGTGACAGCGCCGCGTGCCGCTGTTCCCGACGTGTCTGCCACGATTTTGGTTCTCCAATCGACGTGGCCTCGTCTGAATAACGAAACACACGTTGCACACTTGTTTCCGAGAGACGCGTCAGATATTAGCTCACGACGTACGTTTTTCTCGACGATCGTCGCTAAATGACGCTTGGTTGATTAAACTGAGATACTCTCTTATTATTTCTATCTTTTTTTTTTCCCCCCTCGAGAAAATAATAATAACTTTCCTGTACAATTGTCAAACACGTCGTAGCAGTCAGATGTAATGAAAAGTAATGACAAGTAGTAAATAGTATTTGTAATAAGTATCAAGTACAAGTAGTTTCTGTAAAACGTAACGACAAGTAATAAATAGTATATGTAAATGAAATTCATACGATAAAATAAAGTGTTGCTGAGTATTCCAAGTGGAACGATTCATTGTTCCTGGTTATTTAACAATGTTCGTAAAGGGTCTGTGAAATCACGCGAGATCGAAGTGATCCAGCGATCGTGAAATTAGAAATCGCGTAATCTGATTTCCGTTTTCGAGAAATCATTGTGAGTGACTCCGTCCTTGCTGATTAACGAGTCGCAGTTTCAAACCAACCGGGACCAGGAGGAACGGAAGGGAAAGAGCCAAGAGTTTAGAGCTCGACAAACAACTATTGCGCACCATCGTTCGAAATTTGTCGAGCCCTCTGTCAACGTGTACGTAATTACACATCGAGTATCAAAAATTCTCTACACTAGCTCTTCTGCACCTACGATTAAGCAACAAAGCGTTCGTGTAGCTTCGGACGAGAGAGTGGTGTAGTCGGACACATGCAAGATTCCAACACGAACGAAAAGAATTCTTCATTGAAAGATGGACGACAAACGCTCGATCGAGAAGGAAGATCGAAAGCATACAAACGAAAGGTAGAAGAAACGCGGGACTACGCTACCTACGCGTGTGTTTATTAGGCAACAAGTACACGCTGCTACGTAAATTAAAAAAAATTGCGTGCAAACGAGGGATACGCTGGTGCGTGCTCGTGCGTATTCTGAGCTACTGGGGGTGCGTTGCTTGGTTTGAGATATTTACCGGTAAGATTATCGCCGCGTTGCTGCGGCCACCGAAAAGAAGGCCTCGGCTGCTGCTTGCTGCGCATGTCTCCCGTCCGGTGCGGCGGCTGCGGGCCGCTCGCTTTTCAAACGATCGGAGACCACTACTTACCTGAAAGAGAAAAAGTCACAACGGTCAGAAAAAAAAAAAAACATTTCGTTCCTCCGCGAGACTGAAAGTTTATTCCAAGCCCGCTACGAGTGGACTGGGAATTGTTGGACTTGTTAGTTGCAACACGCGAAATTTCGGGCCAAGTGACTGCTCTCATTCGGCAAACGAGAATTTTACTTATTTACTTGGTGTTATATTGTCGATGTTGTTACTTGATTATTGTTACAACTCGTACCTCGTAATTGCGATACTCTTATGTAATTTTGGCATTTGAGAGACATACGGGTGCTCAAAATGTGTAAGTTTCGGACAGAAGTAATGATTTCCTTATTTTATTCGTGATATTGCTGTTGAAGAAACATTGAAATTGTACCTGATTAGAATTCGTAATTTATTTCTGAGAAAAGTGTTATAAAGAATTTTTGCAAGAAACAAAGAGGTATAAAAGGCTCAAAGTGTATAAATTCAAGAAAAGAAGTAAATAGATATTTCATTTGTGATACTGCTGTGAAAAGTATTGAAATTTTTACTTGATTATATTTAGAATTGTACCTTGTGATAACAATATTTTTATTTCCTAAAAATGTATGAAAATATTTAAGTATTTTGTTTAGACAATAAGCTCGTTTATTCTATTCTCTACAAATACGAATTTGAATCGAAGTTATGGATGAACAGCTGTTTATTCTAATGAATCTCTTTCGATCATAAAATCTGCAAAACTCTTTTAGTTACCGAATGATTTTGCTTGTGAAATCAGATACTATGTCATGTAATAATAATCTAATGACTGCAGCTGATATTTGTTATCATTAATACTGTAGAAGTATTACACAAAACGTCACAATGAATGAAAATTGCATCGAAAGTATGCTACTACACAACAAGTAACGTCGGCTTTCTTTTCTCTTTCTTCAGCATGCTATCTTTTGTCGACTGAAAGCTTCATATCTTAAATAGGTACATTGAACGAAAATTCAAAAAAAAAAAAAAAAAAAAAAAAAAAAAAAAAAAAA